AGCTCCTGAATGCTAGGCCTGAGGCTGGGCTGGAGGCCAAGGGGAAGCCTGTGCACCCAGACACTCAAGCTCACTTAGAGCCCCTGCTCTGGGGCCTGGGAAGTGAACACAGAGGGGAGCACATGGGCTCCAATAGGAAAGGGAGGGGAGAGTTATATCTCTATTCCACTCTGGCTCAGCTGCCCCTTCCCGGGCAAGGGCCTCTGCTTCCCCAAATCTCTGACCTTGGCATTGGAGACCCTTCTCAATCTGGTTCCAGCCACTTCTACCTGCTGATCCCTTCCCTCTGCCATTCAAGGAACCCATCTCCCATTACTGTCTTCATGCCTCTGCCCCTGTTGTTACTTTGCTTCAAGTTAAAGTACACTTTCTCTCCTCTGCTTTGCAAAATTCTAACTTTCCTGGGAATTTAAGCAGTTCACCTAACAGGCTGACCCCTCTGGGAAGCAGTCCTGTCCATTCAGCACAAGCCCTGCTTTCCCAAGGTCCACCACCCTGGCCCTCCCTCCCACCAGGCCTTGTTGGGCCCAGAAGGGTAACATCAGGGTGGGGCTGTATTTTGTTCTGCAGTGGGTTTCATGGGGCAAGGGCTGCCCACACCAGCAAGTGATCAGAAGTGCTAAGCTGGCACTCCTGCCCCAGAGGGCTCTGGGGAGATGTGGGGTTCTCCATCCCCAGTCTGCCCTCAACCTGGGTCTCAGCCTCCCATTAGCCTGGGCGGGGCTCTCCCCCGGGACCTGGAGTTTAGATGCCGCAGGTTGGGCCACATCCCTCAGATGGGGCAAAGGTGGCGGTGATTGTTACCTCTGCCAGAGGCAGGTGAGTCAGCCTTCAGCTGAAAATTGTGCTCCAGCTGGGAGGGAACCAGAGACTCCAACTGATGTGTTGGGGATTGAGAGGAAGAGAGGAAAAGGGCCATAAGTAGCAATAGAGACCACCTGCCTCCCCCCAACCAGAGGCGGATGGGGCATTCTAAAGCCTACACCTCACAGTGACTTCTTTTATTATTTAAAACCATCTAGGCCCTTCTAGATCTGGGCTCTGGCTCCTGCTTACATCTCAAATAAACCCACCAGAATAGAGCCTTAAAGGGTTCCAGGCCACCCCTTCATTCAGCTTCACCCTCAGTCTGAAGGATTCCTCCCCTGCCCAGGTCACCTTGGTTA